AGTTGCCTTTTAGTTTTGTTGACTGTTACCTCTCCAGTGCTGAAATTTTTTGTCTTGATGAGGTCCCAATCATTTATTTTTGCTTTAATTCCCTTGCCTTTGGACACATGTTGAGCAGGAAATTGCTGTGTCTGACTGAGGTCAAAGAGGCTGTTGCCTGTTTTCTCTTCCAGGTTTTTGATGGTTTCCTGTCTCACCTTTAAGTCTTTCATTCGTTTTGAGTTTATTTTTGTGTATGGTGTAAGAAAGTGGTCCATTTTCATTCTTCTGCATATTGTCCAATTTTCCCAGCAACATTTGCTAAAGAGACTGTCTTTTCTTCCCATTGGATACTCTTTCATGCTTTGTCAAAGATTAGTTGGCCATACATCTGTGGGTTCAATTATGGGTTTTCTGTTCTATTACATTGATCTATATGTCTGCTTTTGTGACAATTCTATACTGTCCTGATGATCACAGCTTTGTAGTAGAGGCTAATGCCTGGGATTGTGATGCCTCGTGCTTGTGTTTTCTTCTTCAATATCACTTTGGCTATTCAGGAACTTTTGTGGTTCCAACAAATTTTAGGATTGTTTGTTCTAGCTTTGAGAAAAAATGCCACTGCAATTTTGATTGGAATTGAATTGAATGTGTAGATTGCTTTGGGAAGAACTGACATTTTAACAATGTTTGTTTTCCAATCCATGAACATGGGATGTTTCTCCATTTCTTTGTGTCTTCAGTTTCTTTCATAAGTTTTCTATAGTTTTCAGCATACAGATATTTTACATCTTTGGTTGGTTTATTCCTAGGTATTTTATGGTTCTTCATGCAATTGTGAATGGGAACCATTTCTTGATTCTCTTTCTATTGCTTCATTATTGGTATATAGAAATGCAACCAATTTCTGTGCATTGATTTTGTACCCTGCAACATTGATGAATTCATATATCAGGTATAGCAGCTTTTTGGTGGAATCTTTCAGGTTTTCCATGTAGAGTATCATGTCATCTGTGAAAAGTAAAATTTTACTTCTTTGCCAATGTAGATGTCTTTTATTTCATTTTGTTGTCTGATTTCTGAAGCTAGTACTTCCAACACTATGTTAAACAACAGTGGTGATAGTGGGCATCCCTGAAAGTGGATCTCAGGGGGAAAGGTCTCAGTTTTTTCCCCATTGAGGATGATTCTAGATGTGGGCTTTTCATATATGGCTTTATGATGTTAAAGCACGTTCCTACTATCCCGACTTTCTTGAGGGTTTTTATTAGGAAAGGATACTGGGTTTCATTAAATGCTTTTTCTGTATCTATTGACAGGATCATATGTTTCTTAACCATTCTTCTATTAATGTGATGTATCACATTGGTTGATTATCGAATATTGAACCAGCCCTGCAACCCAGGAATGAATCCCACTTGATTATGGTGAATAATTCTTTTAATTTACTGTTGAATTTTATTTCCTGATATATTGTTGAGAGTTTTTACATCCATGCTCATCAGGGATATTGACCTGTAATTCTCCCTTTTAGCGGGGTCTCTGTCTGGTTTGGGAATCCAGGTAATGCTGGCTTTATAGAATGCGTTTGGAAGCTTTCCTTCAGTTTCTATTTTTTGAAGCAGCTTGAAAGGATAGATATTAATTCTGTTTTAAATGTCTGGTAGAATTCCCCTGGGAGGCCATCTGGTCCAGGGCTCTTATTTGTTGAGATTTTTGATAAGTGATTCAATTTCTTTCCTGGTTATGGGTTTGTTCAACTTTTCTATTTCTTTCTATTTGAGTTTTGGTAGTGTGTGGGTGTCTAAGAATTGTCCATTTCCTCCAGGTTGTCCACTTTGCTGGACATATAATTTTTCACAGTATTGTCTAATAATTTGTATTTCTGTGGTGTTGGTTGTGATGCGTCCTTTTCCATTTGTGATTTTATATGTTTGGGTCCTCTTTTCTTTTTTAGAAGTCTGGCTAGGGGGTTATCAACTTTGTTTATGCTTTCAAATAACCAACTCTTAGATTCATTGATCTGTTCCAGTTTTGGTTTTTTTCGTTTTTTGCATTCTGTATTATTTATTTCTGCTCTAATCCTTATTATTTCTTTTCTTCGGCTGGCCTTGGGGTTTCTTTGCTGTTCTGCTTCTAGTTCCTTTAGGTGTGTGTTTAGGATTTGTATTTGGAATTTTTCTTGTTTCTTGAGATAGGCCTGGATTGCAATGTATTTTCCTCTTAGGATTGCCTTTGCTGCATCCCAAAGGGTATGGACTGTCATGTTTTCATTTTCATTTGCTTTCATATTTTGTAAATGTCTTCTTTATTTGCCTGGTTAACCCATTCATTCTTTAGTAGGATGTTCTTTAACCTCCATGCATTTGGAGGTTTCCCAAACGTTTTCTTGTGGTTGATTTCACGTTTCATCGCATTATGATCTGAAAATATGCATGGTATGATCTCAATATTTTTATATTTATTGAGGGCTGTTTTGTGACCCAGTATGTGACCTATCTTGGAGAATGTTCCATGTGCACTCAAGAATGTGTATTCTGATGCTTTTGGATGAAAAGTTCTGAATATATCTGCCAGGTCCATCTGGTCCAGTGGACAATTCAGGGCCATTGTTTCTTTATTGAATTTCTGCCTGGATGATCTGTCCATTGCTGTAATTGGAGTATTAGTGTCTCCTGCAATTACCGTATTCTTATCAATAAGATGGCTTATGCTTGTGATAGATTATTTTGTATATTTGGGTGCTTTCAAATTGGGGGCATAAACATTTATAATGTTAGCTCTTCATGGTGGATAGACCCAGTAATTATGATATAATGCCCTTCTTCCTCTCTTGTTATAGCCTTTAACTTAAAATACAGTTTGTCTGATATAAGTATCACTACTCTAGCTTTCTTTTGGCTTCCAGTATCACAATAAATGGCTCTCCATCTCCTCAATTTCAATCTGAAGGTGTCCTGAGATCTAAAATGAGTCTCTTACAGAAAGCATATAGATGGATCTTGTTTTTTTTTTTCTTTTTTATCCATTCTGATACCACATGTGTATTGATTGGAGCCTTTCATCCATTTACATTCAGAGTTACTGTTGAAAGATATGGAACTAGTGTCAGTCATTGTGTTATCTGTAGGTTTCATGCTTGTCATGCTGTCTCTGGTCTTTTATAGTCTTTTCAGCATTCTATTCATAGTCTTCCTTACACTCTCTTGCAGGCGTAGTCAGTAGTCATGAACTCTTTCAGTTTTTGTTTGTGTGGGAAAGGTTTTATCTCTTTTTCTATTCTGAATGACAGATAGCTTTGCTGGATAAAGTATCCAAATCTTGATTCTTAAGAGATTGTACTCTTCATGCCCTTATTCTAGGGACATGCAACTCCACCCAGCCAACAAAGAACATCTGGCTCCTCTAGTGACATGTACCTGTGAGCAAGGCACTTTGTCCCACTCTACAGTCTCTTGCACCCCCCAGATGTTTGACTGGGATTCAGACCCTTATGTCTTAAAGGATCTTGTGACATGCGCCCTGGCTCCTGGCTAGAGTTATTCTGCCCAGCTGACAAAGGTCCTCTGGCTAGTGAGTGCAAGCAAGGGCTTTTGTCCTTGGAATGGCTCTTTGCCTTACCACAGCACTCAATTGCTTTCTAACACTCTCAACTGCACCTCTGAACTAGTTCCCAAGACTCAGCCTGGTTCCTCACCTCCCCAAGCCCATGAATAGGAAGCTGTCCCCAGTCGAGGGAAAGCCCCACAGTTAGAAATTGGATTTTTCTGTTTTTGTTTTTTTTCCTATTCCCCGGTTGATGGTTTTTCTCCTGTCCAACCATCCTATACTTCCACAGCCTCTCTTTCTCTTCCTTTTGTCTCTCCATAGAAGGGGATTTCCCTACCACCATGCCTATGTCACCCATTTTACCTATCCCAGTTCACAATCATGCACATTTGGCCCACTAAGTTGTCCCCATGGGTCCCTGGAGACGTCTTTGTTTTTCTGCAGCCCAGACTGTTCAAATTCCAAGTCCTCTGGTCTCAACACTGCTGTGTTTGAGGAATAAGGGAATTTCAGATCCCCCTGCTTGTCCACCATGTTGATCTCATCTACCTTATTTTGAATAGCAGGTCTAATAGGGGAGAAGAGGAGGGGAGAGACGCACAGAAAACTCTGTTGTGGGAAAAGCTGTGGGTGCACTGAGTAATCTTGCCATGGACCTGTCCTGCTGGAGGTTCTCTTCACACTTAGAAAATGCTGGAGAACCTCGAAGAATATATTTTGAGAGGTTGCTCTAACTTTTCTTTTTCTCTTTCAGCAGTGTTACTGAGATTACCTGTTTGATGCTTTATGATTACATTTTCACTCTAAGTATAGCTGCTTCTTTTTAAAAAACCCAGTTCCTTCCAGTATGATTATTAATGCTTTCTTACTAGTCAGTATGGGCTTGTTTTTCCCCAAATGTTCATCAAACTTTGGGTTTTAATAATAGAAGCCAGTTGCATTTCCAAAAACATCATTATTTAATTATATTACCTTTCTGATCTTAAAGAGATTCTGTCTGAAGCTATGCCAAAGGGCTCTTAAAAAATATATATATTTTTGAGAAAAAAAAGAGCTGAAATCTATCAGTGATAGATTCAGCACCCACTGTTACACAGTAAAAAGTAATTCAAACATAGGTAAATAAATAGCTTTTTTAGTTAGAGTACTATGTTCCTGAGAGGGAGATTGTCTCTCAAAGCAAAACATTGTGAGAGGCAGCTGTCCACCACATTGCTGGGCCATGTGGATTATGTGTAGGGCCCCAGAGCCTGCTCAGGACCACTGTAAACACCAAATGCAAGGCTGGATTTAACTTTGTAGTTCAATACCCCTTAGCAAAATTGAAGGGAGATAATAATAAGATGTATTAGAAGCATCAAGATGACACATACAGTAAACATAAAGAACTGTCATATGTGATGCAACAGAGGTAACTAGAGACAGTTGTCATTGGTTACCGTGGAATGAACTGCACCTTTTCTTAGGCTAAATCCATGAGGAAATGAGAACAGCAAAGTCTCATGTTATTACAGCAACCAGAAGCACAATTCAAGACCAATGAATACCAAATTGTGAGAATGGGGTTCTTCATTTTATTCGCTCTTTACTAAATATTTTACATACATAATCCTATTGGATCTTAACAAATATCATAGAGGTAAATATTGTTCACTTTGCATTTGAGGAAATGGTCTCAGTGGGGCTAGGTAACTTAGTCAAAATTATACAGCACATTGCAGAGGTGGAATTCCTGACCAGGTGCTGTCTGATTTGGTGAATCCACCTTAACATTTATCTTAAAAACATGTTGAGGCACATCCAGCCATCAGGTCTTTCATGCCAGTGGTGGTGAGTACTGCTCTTAAAATACTTCTCAGTCTTCACCTTCTGATCACCCTCAGGACTGCACTTCCTGACAATGGTTGACTGTGGCCACCTGACCAGATAAGGTCAAGAGTTTTTCACAGAAGAACTGAGTGTTACTTCCAGACCTGAGCATCAGATGGCTAATGTGAAGCCTTTCTAAGTTCTCTATTCCCATCCTGTAGTGAATCATCCCCTGTACAATGAGGATGGCAAAGTGTTGCACCCTGACAACCTGCTATGGACAGTGCAGAGTGAGTGAAAAATAATGTTTATTATTGTAGGGCAAATAAGTTATGGAGTTGTCTTTTGAAAAAGTTTAGTTTACCCATTATGATGGATTCAGAAATTGCCACTAGGGATGGATGACATAATAGAAAACACCTAAATTATGCAGGACTGGTTCCATTGCTGACAGTAGATGACATGGGAACTGTTACTAGGGATGATGACATCTTTGTCTATATTATGCCGTGATGTAACATTTGGCTTTGATGAGCAACAGTTTGGAAGGCAGAGCAAGCGCTACAGACCTCATGGCTAGGGGAGAGATCAGAAAACAGATTGTCACGGGTACATGTTTCTTGATATTGATTGCATTTGACAAGGCACTAAAAGAAGCAAGTGGTTGTTTATGAGCAGAAATTTAAGGCACTAAAAGGTGTTAATAAATTCAGGAATTTATCAGATGGAAAAGGCAATTACTTATCAATTCCAAACTCTAAAGTTTAAAATGGAGAAATATCTTGATCAAAAAAATATGACTTTTAATAGACCACTGCAAAACACACAGTTGAGAGTGTGGCCATTGCAATCACTACTAAAACTGGCACGCAATAAGCCATTCCAACTGGGCACAAAGGCTGAAAGAAAGAAATACCTATGTAGTTCTCACACTGGAGCATGACCAGCCAAAGCACCCACACTGAAAGTACCCACAGCTGAGAGAAGAAATGATGGCAAGTAAGAGGAGGTTGAAAGCATAGGGAGAGGAGGCAAAGAAACAAGCTACACTTAAATAGTGTGTGTAGATTAAGAGCTGCAGGGAACATCTGTGGGAACAGCTGTGAGCATGTGCTCTTGGTGGCATCATGCTTCATAAAGCCTACTTGATTTCAGAAGACACACTGCCAAAATAATCACAAACAGACACCTAAATCCATGAATCTGAAAGTTTCTGTGATTGTGTACAACACAATAAATCCATCAATAACCCATTAAAAATCTACATGCAGGGCTAAGAAGCCTGCTCAACCCCCAAGAAGGAATATTCCCCAGTGTCTACTGTAGAAGGGCCCAAGGAAAGGAATTTCACTTCTGCCTCCGAGGACAAAGCCCAGGCCACATAGAACAATGGGGAGATCCTGTCAAAGAATGGCAGAGACCCTTCCAAGAGTTGGCACCCCTCACAGCATTGGCACGAACCAGTTACTGCCATCTTCCCAGTGAGAGGAAGACAAGGCAGACAACTGGTCATTTTAGTTCTGAATCTCCAGATAAAAAGGAACTGAATCTGGTACTTGACAGAGGCTGCTGCATATCAGACAGAAATGCTAGAGCTTTGAGCTGGAGGTCATGAATAGAAAGGCCCATGTGTTGTTTCTCTTGTGGTAGAGGGGTGAGTATGTTTCCCCTTGCCGAAGGGAAAGGAAGCCAAACACTATGTGATTAGAGTGCTTTTCATAAAATATTGTTGCCCTCTACCTTCCTGATATATGGAGAGATTGTATTTCCTAGACCCATATAGTTGGGTAGAGCCAGGATTTATACCACTTTCACATTTAATTGTCAGTTGGATACTCTTTAGCTCTTGCTTTTCCTCTGACCCAGCAAACAACACTATAGCTGGTTCCAGGCTGTTTCAGTAGCCTGGGCCCACAGAGTGAAGGATGTATGAAACCTGAGTAGCCAAGGAACATCAGCAGGAGACATCTGGGATGTTCAATGCCACTGAGGTGTGGACCTTACCCACCTCCTGGAAAGTGATCCTGAACCAAGTGATCCTGAACCAGTCCTTGAATACAGATTCTTACTGGAGGTTGTATCTCTTTTTTTGCAGAAATCACAGCTTATTCTATGAATTCTAATCTCTGTATTTTAAGGTGAAGTGAGAATTTAAAGACACTGATATACAGAGTTCCAGATCCCCAGTGTTTTTTCATTGTGTGGCCAACATGGACTTTGTTTTCAAAGAAACAATTGTTCTTTCTTTGTGTAACTAATATTTCATGTGTACTTTATATAAAAGTGCATGTGATCACAATAAAAAAATTGCTTTTGGCCTTAGAAGACTGGATAGCACATAACTCTCAGTAAGAATAGAAATCCTCACCTGGTAGGTACATGAAGGATAGTGGTGAACATGGAGGAGCATATGCTGTTCTGTGAGCAGGTCAGGTAGAGGTCAGTTCAAAATCACATGTGTGGATATGAGTTTATGAAATGAGGAGCAACAGATGTGACTTGGACATCACAGTCAAAAACACTAACACACATCTAGTGATGTATGGAGGGAAAGTCCTCTTTCATTCTTTAAAATCTGCTTTCTTGTGATTAATGGCTGTGTTATCCATGTCCAATGGAGGAAATCAAAGCAGCTATAATTGTCTACAGAACACTACCATGCATTTCATTATTTTAACAAGGTCTATTTGATATTTTTAATTGATTTTGAATTATATATTTCATTTATAAAACTGTATTTACAGTTGTGTGAGAATTAGAAGTTATGGGATTTATATCTACTTTTAAGTTCCAACATGTTTAAGTAAAATTACACTTAAAAAATTATTTGTTTTGAGGGGCACCTGAGTGGCTCAGTCAGTTAAGCATCCAACTTTGGCTTAGGTCATGATCTTGTAGTTCATGGGTTCAAGCTCTACGTTGAGCTCTGTGCTGATAGCTCAGAGACTGGAGCTTGCTTTGGGTTCTGTGTCTCCCTCTCTCTCTCTGCCCCTCCCCTGGTCACACTCTGTATCTCTCTCCTTCAAAAATAAACATTAAAAATTTTTAAAAACTTATTTGTTTTGAGAGAGAAAAAGAGAGAGAGAGACAGAGAGACAGAGAGCAGGGGAGGGGCTGAGATAGGGGGAGAGAGAGAATTGGAAGCAGGTTCCATGCTGTCAGCGCAGAGTCTGATTTTTTTTGTAGGGCCTTTTTTACTTGTGTTAAAACATGCATAACAAAATTTATCATTTGAACTATTTTAAGGGTACCATTCAGTGTGGTTAAATAAATTCAAATTGTGCTACCATCACCACCATCTATCCAAAGAATTTTCTTCATCTCCCAGGATTGAAATTCTGTACTCATTAAACAATGACTCCCCATCGCTGTGCCTTCTAAACATTGACAACCATAGTTCTATTTTCTTGTCCCTATGAATTTGACTATTCTAGGAGTCTCACATAAGTGGAATCCTACAATCTGTGTCCTTTTATCACTGGCTTAATTCCTTTATCATAATGTCTTCAAGATTCATTCATGTAGCATACGCCCAAATGTCCTGCCTTCTAAAGGCTGAATAATATTCTATTGTGTGATATGCCACATTTGTTTACATATTCATCTGTCAATGAACACTTGAGTTGCTCCCACTTTGAACTATGGTGAATAATGCTGATATGAACATGTGTGCACAAATATGTCTGAGTCCTTGGTTCAATTCTTTTGGATATGTGTGTGTGTGTGTGTGTTTGTGTGTGTATACACACTATTTTAGACTATTGATTCAATCCCTTTAGTAGTTATAGGTTTGTTCAGATTTTCTATTTCTTTATTACTCAGTCTTGATAAGCTGTATTATGAGTAATTTTTAATTCATTCAAATTATCCAATCTGTTGGTATATAGTTTTCCATAGGGCTTTTTTATAATCCTTTTTATTTCAGTAAAACAGGTTATAAAGTCCCCTTTCATTTTTATTTTAGTTATTTGAGTTTATTTTTTTCTTAGTTTGTCAATTTTGTTGATATTTTCAAAGAACCAAATCCTGGTTTTGTGGATTTTCTTTATTGTTTTTTCTATTGTCTATTCAATTTATCTTTGCTTTAATTTTCATTTATTTCTCTCAGCTACCTTTGGGTTTAGTTTGTTCACATTTTACTTTATCTTAAAGTCTATTGGAAATATTTCCTATTTTTTACTGTAAACATTTACAGCTCTAAATGTCCCTCTTATCCCAGCTTGTGCAGTATTCTGCAAGTTTTTATATGTAATATTTTTATTTTCATTACATTAGCCTCAAAATACTTTCAAATTTCCCTTATGATTTCTTCTTTGACACACCAGTTGTTTAAGAATGTATTGTTTAATTTCTGCATATTTGTGAATTTCCCAGTTTGCCTTCTGCTTCTGATTTCATTTCCCTCAAGTTGTTGAGGTTTCTTCTGCCGAAGGATAGAGAATAGAAAAGTGAATATGGTCATGCTTTAATTACCCTCTCTGCATGCCTGTTGAGAAATTAAGATTTTTTTAAAAAAGATTCTTTACTTCTTTAGCAAGTGTTCTGAATTAAATGCTTACAAATTCCCAGGTTCTCCATGGCCAAATTTCTTTTCTCGTTGACCGCTTATTATTTATGGAAACCCCCACCATTGGGAGGGTGTTGTACCCCCAGTTGCAGAGTCATGGGGTGACTTCTTGTAGCTAGCACACAAGGAACTCATAAGACAGCCTGTGGATTGCCCGTGTTTATGTTCAGAGCTGTGAATTGTCCTCCCCTTCTCTAAGCCTTCCCACCTTCGAATTAACTCCTAATAAAATGTTTTCATACCAACAAAGGATAGTTGTTCTTCTTCCAAGTATATAATTTGCTTTCTAACATGAAAATATAAACTTATATGGGAAAGCTTTTTATTAATTCTTATGACAATGGAATTTTTCTGCATTAGGCAATTTGTGTGAAATATTTGAACTTGTCACTTGCAAAGTTGGATAGCAAATTGTTATAAGCAGCAAATGCAATCAGATTGTTAACAAGCATAATAAATGATTTTTATTAATGTAAATACCTAGGCTCATCTTATAGTATGAATTTTTCAGATATCATGTTCAGTAAGATCCATATACTTCTGCAGCTTAAAAATTTCTCACAGAATACCAAACATTTGGCCTCTTTGAACTGTTTGCTTTTTAAACATTTAATTGCAGAAAATCAACATTTCATTACTCATGAATCAAAAGAAATTATTATTTGGTTCTTAAAGACTTCCTGTAGTTAAATACTTTGTCATTTACCTCCTGGCACTTAAAGAAAATTTCACATCTCTGAGCTTGTTCATAGGCATCAGAACAATATTTCTTATGCCTCATTCATTTCATCCCTTAGGGAATTCTGAATGTAGGAAATAACCTTGGTTATAACCATGATGATTGGCCAGAGACCAGAGTTCAAAATGTATGTCATCAAATTAAACCTACATAAATTAAAGAGCAAGTACCAGGTGCAAAACAGAGATTTGTCCAAGATACAGCACCAGCCTATTCTTGAAGTGTATCAGTTTGCTGCTATTCCCTCTTCTGATAGTTTTGAAAAGACATCTCCTTTTTCAGTTCTTTGCCAGGGGAGCCACTAAGGCAACCACTATGAACACGACCTGTCTGCTCAATACTGCCACCATCTCTGTTCAAGATTATCTTCCTCTGCTTGGCTTCTGAGGGCTTTGCAGTGTGATATGCCACTTGTCTATCCAGATGCCTTCTCTCCATTCCATCTGCTGAAGCCCCTATGGTCACTACACTAACTTTTGGCTTATTCCCACCCATGCTTGGCTTGTCCTTTCACCTCAGCCCAATTGTGCACTGTCTTCCTCAGAATGACCACAGGCACAAATTGTCATGGTTTCAGAACCCTCTCAAACCCCTCCTCCAAGAGGCCTTCCTGAAATTCTGTTGCCCGTGTTGGTCTCATTCTCCACAGAGATCATCTTGCACTCATAGTTGGCATTTTGCAATTTAACCTTTCTTCCAAAGCATATGACAAAGATAAAGCAATTTCCTCTTTAAGATCATCAAAGTTTCCTTGAAAACGGTGATCATTCCTGAAGCTTCTGTGTTTCACTTGCAAATCTCAAAGAGCTGGTCCTTTATTGATTAAAAGAAAAAAGACACAAATGGGCAAGGATTCATTAATGGTGTTTCCCACATTAGAGTCGATTTTCCAAAGTGTGATGAGACTAATTATCACCAACAGTTGTAATATGGGACTTTCAGACATCATAGAAAACAAGGTCAGTAATTTCCTCTGAAAATTTGTACTCAAAATAAATACTTGTACTGATAAGTAAATGTGTGCTTTCAGCTATGGTGAAGAGAAATAATCAGTGGCAATATAGCCAGAGATGCTTCTTTTTTATCATACTAAATTTCACAAGTTTAGATAACTGTGTTTATGTGTGGGTGTGTATTCCTATGTAAATAAACAATCATCAACCAATATTAATTAGGGAAAACATTAAATAACTTTGAGAGTAAGAGAATATGTGGCTAGGTAGAGCTTCTTTAAGTGGATTGATGATGACAGTTTTCCTAAGTAGATGTTCTTATGTACTTGGAGACAGTCTGTTCTCATAAGCAGCAAAGGGAATTCTGCATACCATCTTAATTTGTTTCCCAGCTCCTTCTCTGTACCTTCTGCTGTCCAGGACTTGGTCTAGACATTTAAGGAGGATGATTTTGATGCATCAGGTAAACCATGTCTCAAGCACATTAATTGTGTGAGCCAGGGCAAATAATGTCAAATTTTCCAGCACCGACTTTAGGTTTCCTATTATAGCTAGCAGAGATGGAGAGAAAGTCCAGTGTTCTGCCCTGAGAAGAGGGCCTCAGTTTTTCCTTCCCTCTAAATGGGAGTCATGAAGAGCTGGAAGCACATGGTAGGGTATGAGAGTGGCATCCACAACTGTCTGATGTCTTGAAGCAAAAGAAATACCGGGTTCCATCCTTTTATCTCCAGTCATGCCATGAATGTGAAAAGGATGTTTTGGTCATTAATGAAATATCATGAGGTAATTGTGTTGAAACAAAGTAATTGATGAAAATCTCTCCATAAAATGCCAAGATCAAAATGTTTAGATGAATTCAGGAGGAAGAAGCATATGAAGTGAAATAATATGAAAAGAGAAGGAGGCATCACTGCAGTGAAGGAAAGAAGAAAGCCAAGGGATCTGTTCTGAAAAGATTCCCCTTCCTAAGGTGAAATATCCCAGTGAACACATATTTTGGAGTATTAAAGCTAAGTGTCACTCAGTTAAGTATCTCTTAATAAAATTTCCAATGGCCTAAGGGGAAATAGATAAAAGATCAAAGTAGAAAATGATAATCTAGCACTACTTTATTGCTTTATTTTTTTTCCTTGTGGCTCTTCCATCCCGAAAAAGGAGATCTTGCTGAAAAACCACATTATGCTCTTGTAATTGTTAAAACTTTCATTTATGTGAGCAAAATCATGTAATTTTTTTAAATATCTTTTTATTTATTTCTTGGAGAGAGAGAGACAGCGTGAGCAGGGGAGGGTCAGAGAGAGAGGGAGATACAGACTCTGAAATAGGCTCCAGGCTCTGAGCTGGCAGTCAGCACAGAGCCCGACGCGGGGCTCGAACCCACAAACTGCGAGATCATGACCTAAGCGAAAGTCGGACGCCCAACCGACTAAGCCACCCAGGCGCCCCAAATCATGTAATTTTTGATATAACTATATCAATATCCATTTAATATTAGGTATTTTAAGCACGCTTGCACCTTTCTCGACAATCAAGACTAATGCATAATATACTGTGGCAAAAACAGTTGGGAAGTCCTGTGACTAACCATTTGTAATTCAGACTACCTACTTTTTCTCTTTTTTCAAACAGTTTATAGGAGTTGCTCATATGTATTCGGAGGACATTGTGACTGCCACTTGAGTATATTTGTTTTTTTTTCTTTTATAAAGTCAGTATTCTGTGACAAACGAACCTACCTGTGTTCAGGTTACTTTTCATGCTGTCTTAGTCTTATTTTGGTGGTGGTGGGTCGGGAAGGTTGCTTTGTTTCTGTTTAAGATTTTTGTTTTTGTTTTTGTTTTCCTTTCTGCATGTTGATCTGCACTATTAGGGTATATGACAAAGTCCTTTATTAAGGATTTGACATAGCAGCTTATGCCCCTGAAAAGGAGTGGTACAATAGCACTTTTGAAATGTCTTTACTTTTCTAAATTTTATTTTGGGTTCATTTAATTTTTTACGCCTAGTCTTACTTATGTTATTTGTAAATACTTTAAAATGTAACAAAAACTTATGCTTCCATTCCTAATCCTGTTTTCAAGAGGCAACCTCTGTCAACATTTTTAGCTGTTTTATTTTCTGATATTTATCTCTGCAGTTCATACTAATGTGTGTATTCTATTTCTTTGACTCAATTTTAGACACAGACTATTGACTTCCTATAATGTTGCTGAGAATTGTGGGTAACTCACAGCTTGTCTCCATAACCTCTACTCTCCCTGTGTAACTGCATCTTAATTGGGTAAATGCATAATAAGAATTTTCACTCTTTTGACCATGTAAATTCTGTTTGCTTTTGGACTAGTGTACTGTAATTATATGTCTATTCTCATCAAACTCTTTGTTTTCCTTGGGAATCAGAAATTGGCCTTTTTCACCCCTACTGTAGGCTTAATTTTCTTGGAACACATCAAAAAATCTTCCTACATCCTCAAACAGTTTGTTAAATACCTCTCAGAAGAGTTTTCTAGACACTCAGTTCTGTCTGATGATTTGCCCATCCCCCATGTCTTAGAGTCCTGGCCTTGCAATGCTTCATGTAAATTTAATATGTGTGGGAGTGATGTAACCCAGATGGACACCTGTCCCACTATGATCTGCTTGAGCATCACTTCCCTCTGCTCTTGGTCATCTTTATCTATGATCTCAGGCCTTCCCCATCTTTGGTTAAGCTCTGCTGTGTAGTTGGAAATCATTATTCCTCAGGATTTTGAAGAACATTATTCCATTGTCTTTCAGTTTAGCTGGTTGGGGAGATCTAAATCATTCTAATGAATTATCGTTTTGTGATTTTTTTTTCTTCTTTCTGGCAGCTTTAGGAAATACTTTTTATTCTTGGTGTTCTGAAATTTTACTATGAGATGACTAGAAATTGATCTTTTTAAATTTACTATCTTATGAATTTGGGGAGACCTTTTCAATCTTGGGTATTTCTGCTTCTGTTCTGAAATTTCTTCTTGCAGTATTTAGTTGATAATTTTATTACCACTTTTTTGTTGTTTTTCTCTTTCTGGAATTGATATTAACTGGGCATTAGACCAATCATCCAATATTCTTTTCTTTACTCCTTTCACTTTGTCAATTTTTTCCCTTCTGGGAAATTTCCCCAAGTTCAGTTTACAAATTTCTATTGAATTTTCATAAATTATCATATTTAAGATTTACTTTTTTGTTTTCTGATTGTTCCATTATAATAGCATCATGTTTTTTAAAGTTTATTTATTTATTTTGAGAGACAGCATGAGTGAGGAAGAGGCAGAAAGAGAGGGAGAGAGAGAAAATCCCAAGCAGGTTCCACACTATCAGCATGGAGCCCAAGGAGGGTCTCAAACCCACAAACCATGAGATCATGATCTAAGCTGAAATCAAGAGTCAGATGCTTAGGTGAGCCATCCAGGTGCCCCAATGGCATCTTGCTTTAATGTTATGGATGCACTGAATTTTTTTTAAATCTCCCTGAGGGATGTTATACTTACTTTGATATTTTCTTCTACATTTAATAATATCATATCTTCATATTTATTCATATTTATGTATCTTTTTATCTTATTGTCCATTTCATGGTTCTGATTCCCTAATATTTTACTGCCTTTTATATTTGAGAATGAGTTACTACGGAGTTGATGAGAATTTCTTTGTGTGTAAACGGCTGGAAGTGAACCAGAGTGCTTCACTAAAGGATTATTAGGTCTCCCTTATTTTTCCTTTGGGATATACATTCATCAGCCTTTGCTGCACTTTTTCCCCTTTTTGTTATTGTTCCTTTATAATTGCCTATCTATAAAAGTAGGCTCATGTATCCTGTTTTGGAGGTGGTGTTGTAGGGTAGAATAGTACTAGATATAAGCTTATTTTTTGACATCTGATGTAGTTAGCCTTAGAGATTGTGGAAAAAATAAAATGTTCCTGTAATTCTTATTGTTTCTATAAAAAGCCCTTGTCCTCTAAGCCCCACATCTCACACACCTTAATAATTAGATTTCTAGCCATTTGTTTAGTTAATTGCTCTGATCTGAAATGACAATAACACATCTTTTATCTCCACAAAGAATATCAACTAGTTACAGCTCTGACCAGATCCTAGGTTAATCTCTAGGGTTCTGGGAAGACTGGGATGCCTATCACCCTAGGTACTTATATTTTTTTAAATGAATAGTTCTTGGAGACATCTGTAAGGTGATCAATTTACCAAATGGCTGGAATTAGATGTCAGACCTATTACATTCCCAAGGAAATCCTGTCAGATGAGGCAAAGTACAGCTGCTGCTTCTTTAATAATAAGCAGAGAGAAATCATGTTTCCTTATCTTTCACCTGTGAGGTGCCCAGCTACACACATAGGACGATTGACTTGGCTATTATGTCACTCTAGGGATAAGAACTAGGGCAAAATGAAGGAAAGGGGCACAGACTTATTATTTACTGTCAAATATTTAATAAGAAATGTACCTCTGATCTTGAGTAAGACAAGTGCACATTAAGGATACAATTATAAAGATGAGATTAGGGGCACCTGGGTGGCTCAGTCAGTTAAGCGTTGTTCTTCTGCTCAGGTCATGATCTCATGGTTTGTGAATTTGAGCCCCACCTCAGGCTCTGTGCTGCCAGTGAGGAGCCAACTTGGAGCCTCTTGTCTCCCCCTACTCATGCCCTGCTCATGCATGTGCTCTCTCTTTCTCGCTCACTCTCTCTTTCTCAAAAATAAATAAATGCTTTAAAAAGTTTATTAAAAATAAAGATAAGAAAAAAAAAAACACAACAGGGGTATTGGGAATAAATACAGTCTCCTCTTTTGAAGACCTGTTTTCACCAATCCTTTTCTTTTATGAACTTATGTTTGCTCTTTCAGCTTACTGCTACTGTCTCTCACTTGTCCCATTGCTTTCTATCATCTTACATTTGGGCTTTAAATGTTTCTAGCTTTATTAGAGTTTATAATCCTGTTTCATCTTTAATTTTAATTTTATTATTATTATTATTATTTATTTTTTGAGAGGGAGAGAGCAAGTGGCGGGGGCAGGAGAGAGGGTCTATTTGGGTTGTTGTTGTTTTGAGAAAAGAAGTGAAAAAGTTTTTACACTTCCACCTGGATTGTAAAACTATCAGGTTTCTTCTTTTTAATTTTAATTTACAATCAGCCTTTCATAATTTATCATTTCATAATGGAATTCTAGATGGTTGAGATCATTCTGTAAAATACATATGATTTTATTATCTTTTTTTTGATAATTTATTCCTTTACTATATTTAGCACAGATATTGTTTTAAGATAAAAGTCACATCATGGACATTTCAAATGCTTCTATTGTACATGACTTTTTCCTCTTGATCAAATTTTCACGGCTAGATAGTGTTTTGCATAAGTCAGTTTTCCCTACATACCTGTTTATCACTTCAGTTTACCCTCTCTTGGCTACTGAGAAGGCCTTTCTTAGAAAAGGAAGCAGCATGAGAGCCTCCAGTTCAATCGTTCTTTAAAGATTAGTTGGGTCTGACAAATATTTGTCAATTATTTTCACAGGTTGAAATGCATTTTATTTATCAAATGAGAATTTCTCTAAAGAATCTTTCATGCTAGTAGATAAGAGCAAGGTAAATCATACATTATCAATAAAAGAAAAGGCCAGGGTGACATGATATTTCACCAGAGCATTTGAGATAATGATATGGAAATCTGTGCGTGTATCTTTTCTAAGAAATTACTGACAGTCTATTAAAGCTGAAATATTTTGGAACGAATGAGCAAAATCATAATGTAAAATATGAATGACTTGCTTTGAAATAACTGTCTAAAAGACAAGTTGAATGGCAACTGGCATTGGATTCTTTTTTAAAAGTTGATTTGGGTTTTTATGTATCCCCCCTCTTGATCAATTCATAAACTTATTGACCAGAAACTTTGGTGTGGTGAAGATAAATAGACTTCCATAGT